ACACMATTCTGCAAGAACAAAGCCTCAGTGGTATCTGGAGAGAGGACAGGAACTCAGTGACACAAAGCAGGAGAGAGTTCACTCAACCAGACCGTCTGCCTTTTGAGTCAGCATCACTTCCAGGCTGCCATTCTCTAGAAAAACAGATCAACCTCAAGTTTTCCTTTGACATCCTTGGCACTGTAGTGCTGATGCAATTTTTATCAAGCTTGCTCTCAGCCTGGCTCCCTCACTTTCTCACTCCTCTCACTCTTCACRCTAATCCAGGGGCATTTGGACTCCCCCGTGCTGCTCCACCTGTGCTGAGTGAGAGCAAAAGCTGCTAAAACCACAGCCAGTTTCTTCTGCACCTTCCTCTTTTCTTGTCTGGTGTTTATTTTTCACACAAAAACCACTTGGAGGCAGATATAACCACTTCTGCTCACTCTTTTAACTACAGTAGTGTTTTTCTAAAAAYGCAGGGTTTTAACCACTGGAGGAAGAACAGGCTTTAGTCTTATTTGGGTCTTTGAAATATAAAGCTACAGGCAAGTCTGCCTAGATCTCACTTTTGGAAGGAGCATTTCAGCTGGGCCAGAAGTGTTTCAGAGCTCTCATCAGGAACTGGGTGTTAGCATAAAAATGCCAAGAGACATCCCAGGCTTCAACAAACTCGGCTGTGACAGGAATTTGGAAATCCAGRGTGCAGAAGGCAGAGCAGTGCTAACTTCCCTAGGGAGCCCCTGCTGTCACCAGGCTCTGAGGGTTAAAACATCTGAGCTGCAACTGCTCATCCAAATTTCCAAACCTTTGGGCCAAGCTTTGCTACGTGAGATCACCAGTCCATGGAGAGACTCAATGGGTTTAGCCCTCCTCATCCGAAACCAGGCTGGGAAAGGAAAATCCCTGCTGCTCTCCCTGGAATTTGCTTCCCATTACGCCATCGACTTCTGGGAGCTGATTTTCACTGTCCCTCCATTCTGCCCTCCAGCTAAGCTGCCTGTGAGCAGGGCAGCATGGCTGAGCTGACAAAGCCATACGTGAAGAAAGTGAAACATGCTGCCAAAAACCCACCCCACTTTTGGGAAGCAAGAGGATTGTATTTCATTTTGCAGTTCACTCACTCAATCCCAAAGCTTTTGGCTGCCTGGAAAGCTCCTCTCTCTGCTCCAGCACTTTTTGCTGGTGACAATTAACAAATTCAGAATATTGATATGCTGTAACAAAGCTGCACTCTCACCACAAGAGATTGGTGCAGCAGTCTCTGCTCTCTGCTCGCTCAGTTTTTCCCTCACAGTTTCTCCATCATCAGACACTGGTGACTGCTCTGTCAGCTGATGGCAAAGAGTATTTGAAATAATTTATTCTACATTCACAAACCCAATAGGTCTTCTGGCATAAAGCCCTYGTGGCTGCATTCAGGTAGGGCAGAAAAAGAGTAATCTTTTTCCTTTAGAWATTAAAATCAAAGCAAAACTTATGTCCAGAATAAGCTGAAGTGATCWGAATCCATTCCAGAACAATTCTCCTCTTCTGCAATTCTATTACCTCTATAAGCAAATCCCAGTTTGACTCGCTCACACAAGCAGAGGAGACCCCAATCTGAGTCCTCTCCTGCCTTGAAGCATCAATACCTGAATTTCCCATTTCACATTCAGACAGGGCAGGGTACACAAGTCAGATGCTCAACTTCTCTCCTCTGGAGTATTGACTCCATCAAACCCTGTGGATTTACCTCTGACCTACTCCCTCCCCAGCTCTTCAGGGAAAATCCCAAGGACCAAAAAAAAAAGCATTACAAAGGGAAACAGATAAAAAGTTGTTTTTTTTTCCTGTAGCACAAATATTTCTGCTTTTGATTCCATACAAAGTCCCAGGACACTGAGGTTAGTTTTGTTTTCTTTGGTACCAGAGCACAGAATACCTCCAGGAACACCCAGTGACGTAAATGAGGTCATAAGGATGTAGTTTTGTTATTATCAAGAAACTGCAAAGATGAACAGGATGCAATCYTCAGAAATAGTGTGGTTTCTGATGSGGGGAAACKGGTGAAAYGCAATTACGCAAAATGAAAGCAAAACAAAGCAACAGCATCTGGGAAATGAATCCTAAAAGTTACTACCCTTGTTTAAAATGGAGCTCCTCACACAGGCAGATGGATCAAGGGCTTTCTAAACCCAAATAAATCTATTTGTAGAGCACCTCTAAGCATCTACACCTAAGTGAATCTTCCTGGCAGAAGAATTTGATTTTCATTTYAGAGCTTTGTACCATTCATGCTCAGAGAATTCTCACTAGTCCTGTTCAAGGTTAGAGGCCAGAACTTTTAGTGAGGAGATAATCCAGTTATTAAGGCTATTAAGGCCTTAGCCTGCAATACAAGAGAACCTAGGTTTAATTCCCTGATCTTCCACAGGCTTCCCGTGCCATATAATTACTTACAATCATTTATGTCACTGCAGTAGCTGGATGCTGATTTTCCAGAGYTCTTAGCATCATGGTTAGAAAGCACTGTCACAGCATTAAATCAGGGAGCTCAAGTGCATGTTTTATTGGAGAAGAACAAAACAGCAATTAGAAGATGCTTTTTAGCCATAATGCTGTATCTAAGAGAAATATTTGCATTAGAAGTCTGTGTAAAAGAAAATCTACATATTTAGCAGCTAGAAAATCTACCGTGTTCCTCAGAAAATGCCAGGTTTACCACTCTGTGTTATACCAACACTAAAAGACACTGACCAAACATTAYCAGTGCACTGCAAATGTAGTAGCTCAGCAGTGATAACATTTGTTAYCATTCGAAAGAAATCAAAGTGTGTTTGCATAGTTTCCATTTCAATCTCACGGCAGGATGTTTCCTTCCCACTAAGCCTCTAAAAACTCAGCATAAGAAAGAAATGAAAAAAGAAGGAGTCCTCCCAGCTGTTGGGCCCAAGAGCAGCCAATGTGAAGCTGCACAAATTCAGGCTGTAGCCAACAACTACCAGCACCGTGAAATAAGATGCAAAAATCACCTCCAGGCAGCAGCCACCCAGGGAACAGAAACACTGAAGAACTGAGGGTCCAGTAAATATTTCAGTTGTAATTCCCCTCTAGCTAATCACAATACTCCTGGTGAATGCCCCAAATTTCAGCCTTTTTCCCCAGAGCAGACACAGCACCGTGCTTCTCTCGAGCAAGGCATGTGCATTTCAGAGAGGGAGTTTTGCTTTCACTTCTGTGCCACCAGCAGCCCAGAACACAGCAGACAGGCAGAAGGGCTGGAGAGGAGTYTGTTTTTTCAGACAAGGAACCAGCAGTTAGTAAGCTGACTGTGTTTTGGAGATGCTCAATTGCTTTCTATTTAAATTCCCAGCTCCCTCCTCAATTCTGGCCCTCTTTCTCCAGTGCCCCTCATCATGATTCTTGCCTGTTAATCACAGAAGGGGCCTTAAGTTGTTAAAATTTTGGCTCTGAATATGACCTAGAGCAGCCTGGGGTGACTGCAGATTGCTCTGGCTGTTTCTGGGAGGCTCTATCAGAGTGAGGAATACACTCATTTCATCAAGAGGCTAAAACACAAATCGTATTTTATTACACCCTGGGATTCCTGTTATGATGAGCACCTACACGACCACATTTTCCCTCCATCTCCTAATTATGCAAGATCCCTGCAACAAACCCACTCTGCTATTACTTGTCACTGCAGAAGAGAAATTGATACTTAAGAGGCACTTAGGAGTCCAAATCCAACCACACAAATGCTGCTCCAGAAGCTGCAATGAGTCTGAAGTTCACATTTTTATATTTTAAATATGTAGCAGGTTATTTCCAAAACCCAGGAGGGTCTCCAGCATGACAAACAATCAATTCTGAGCACAACTTGTGATTTTAAAGCTCCTCTGACTCCTCAAGGAGTGGATTTTATTGCGGATTTTATAGTGTTGATTTCTGTGGAATTTATCAGATATGTTTTCAGCTACGGGAAGTAGTTGCTCAACTCATATACAACTCATATACAACAGAAACCATTCAGCAGAAAATGTCCAGATTTGCACTACTAAAAAGCCCATGAAAACAAACTCTCCTCTTTCCCTTAAATGGTCTCATCACAGATTAYGCCATTTCTTTGTGTCAGTGCTTCATGAGTTTCTACAAATTACTGCCTTGTCTAATTATTTCTTAGAACTTCTATTACCTCAACATTTACCAGTAGCCACAATGCTTTTGCAAGAAAAGGGAATATTTTGAACCTTCTCTTTCTGAAAGGTTCTTAGAGATATTTAGTGATTTGATGAAGCCCAGGAAGAAKTCAGTAGCCAAACAGCCAAGTTAGGTCTCCCAATTCGTAATTTAACACTCTTGCTATAAAATCACCTTTTCAATCATTACAGAAAAGCCCGATAGTTCCAGTGCACTAAGCTCACACACACAGCCCAGAATCTTCAAAGCTTAAGTCCTGTGTCAGAGGCAAAGAGTGAGGCATGTGGATAAAAGAACTCATGGAAAAAGTCAGGAATACATGGCTGGACAAGGACAAAGCGTCATCAGCAACAGCTCTCCTCAAACTTCGTGCTGCACAGCCCAGTTTTTTTTCCTCCCAAACACGCAAAAACTTCTTCTCTGCATGAAGACAGGCAGCAATCCCAGGGGATGCTGGCATTACCAGGATTACCAGGAAGCCTTCACTTCTCAGCCATATAGTTGCTACTGATTAAACCCCGTGTTTACCTGCTGCTCCTGTTCTGGAGGACGAGCACTCCCTGTCAATCATTAAGCAAGCAGGGGAATGCCCAGACACACAGACAGGCTCACACTCTGCTTGCCAAGTTGGCTACTGAGCCATATAAAGGCCATAACTATGCAAACACACCTAAGTGTGGCAGGATGTTTTCTCTGTTTACCCTTCAAGCCGAGATAAGAAGAGGGTCAGGGTCGGGGCAGGCGTGATTTCTGCGTGCCAACACCCCGGCCCTGGTGCCTTTTGCTGGAATTAGTCTGGAGGAAGCCAGGACAGAGAGCAAAGAGCCAAAGGAACTCACTGCTTTGAGGATTGCCACCGCATCCTGCTGGAGCCACGTCGGGTACACGACTTCGTCGTTCAGAATGGCCTCGAAGAGATCGTCCTCGTTCTCGGCCTCGAAGGGCGCGTGGCCGCACAGCATCTCGTACAGCAGCACTCCCATGGCCCACCAGTCCACATCAGGGCCATACAGCATCTCCTGCAGGATCTGTGGCACAGATGGGAAAGAAATATCAACCAGAAATAACCACTGTGAAGCTGAGGAACTGACAGGGCAGGGAAAAGGGATTTGGAAACGGTAATGCAGAAGTTCYTGCTGTGCCCTAACAGCGCTCTCTGCTCGGCTGGTGGATGTCCAGGAACGTGAAGGGATCTCAGCTGGGAACCCCCAGATCAGCACAAAGGTACATCAGCTGCTTTAAGCAAGGAGAGAATTAGGCTGGGTCACCTGGGAAACAAGCCCTTGGAATGAGGCTGGAGCTGAGCTGGAGAAGGGGCGCTGCAGCAAACCTGGCTGAGGCTCAAAGCAGCAGAGCAGCCACGTGTGTGAGTTGCCATCGCCTCCTCCTTGCCCTTGGGAAGAAAGTTCCTACCTGGCTCTGACAGCAAGGCTTTCAGCTGGAGAGGGGAAGAAGTGTGAGTGTGTGGGAATGGTGCAAACATCAACCCAGACAGAAATCCAATCGTGCTGAAGGATGTGAAACCCTGTCAGAACATCTGGCAGCATCTGGAGGGCAGCTGCTCCTTACAGAGGTGTTTATTAATTTTGTAGTGAGATTGGGGAATGACAGGAGTGTGAGGAGGTAGAAAAAGGAACTGAAAAATTAAGGAGAATTCAATATCCTTCCAAATCAAGCAGGGACAGCATCTGTGTGTGTCCCTCAAGATTTCTGCAGCTGTATTTCCATTTTTCACCTCACTTTTTCTGAAGAGAAATGAAGGCTACTTTTGGTGCATACAGCAGCCTGAAGATTTACTCATGGCTTGTAACTCCTGGATTTACTCATGGCTGATAACACATCTAGAAGGAAACCTTGAGTTCAACCAAATAAGGCACAACCAAAGACACCAGGGAGTACTCTGGCTGCTCCAAAGCCAACCCACACTTTTCACATGGTGACCATTTTCCCGCCCAAAGAAAGGTTTCCCGTACCTCTGGAGCGATGTAGTCTGGTGTGCCACAGAAGGTGGCCGTGGTGATGCCATCGTGAATTCCCTCTTTGCACATTCCAAAGTCTGCCAGCTTGCAGTGCCCCTCGTAGTCCAGCAGAACGTTGTCCAGCTTCAAATCCCTGCAACAAGAACCATTCAGAGTCACCCCATGCTTGGAGCAGCCCCACACAGATGGAGGAAACACCCCAGGTCTGATAAACCCCACCTGGAGCATTATCCAAGCCTAGAAGAGAAGAAACTCCCTGYTGACATGGACAAGGGGAATCTTTGGGCAGCACAGGATGCCTCCACCATAAAGCAAAGTCCCAAAGTCCTCCCAGGTGTATCAATACCWGCAGAGCACTGATGTAAGCAGTAAACATTCCCCAAAGTGCTCATGGAGTGGGGACCTCCTCGTCACTGTCACAGGAGGCTGGCAGCCCCACAAGCTGCAGAAGGACACTTTTTCCAACACGCCACCTCTAACAGCCTGGGAGCTCCTCATCGAAAGCACAGCTGCCARAATGACAGAGCCCTAACAAAGCTTATCAGCCTGCCTGACCTTGAGATTGCCCACGGGAATAGCCTGCAGCCAGAAGCACTGTCGGGAACGCAACCAGAAAGCACGGGGTCGTCTGCAGACTGCCTAAAAATACACCAGCTCRTAGCACCTCTGCTTTGCAGCTGCCAGACGAGCTCCAGGCACCACTGCAGACACAGGAGAGGAGCTCTGATGGGAGCACAAACAGGTCACAGATCRTTTTCTGAACTGTCTCAGGTGTTGGCCCAAGAGTTGCCAAGAGCCCTCATAGCAGCTTTGTGACAGTGGGAGCAAGAAAAAGCCACCTTCAAAGTCATTCTAATGTCCACATCAGGATCAAAAAACTAAATATATTTGAGGGTCTCAGGGCCCCCTTGTGAAATCCATAATGAATTTTGATCCATTTCACCCTTTGGTTGGATATCTGCTTCCCTGGGAAGGGGCGGCAATAGGGAGGGTGGTGACATAGGTGGTGACATCTCCATATCAACACAAAAACCTGTGGTTGAGCTGAAATCTGAATCCAGCTTGATCCTGTTCATCCTCCATCCATGACCCCAAAGTGAAAACCAGGGGGTTGATGGCTCTGCCCTGCCAGGTGAAATGTCCCATGAATTTCCACAGCCCACGGGACTCCAGAGACCCCTCCCTCAGCGACACCACTGCAGTGAAAAGATCAAGGACACACTAAGACAATCAGAGCYACATCCTCTCCTCCAGAGATAAGGGAAAGTATTCTTAGCCTYGTTTGAATGGATGGGAAAGCAAAGGATGGAAGTTCAGAACTTTGCCCGTGTCCCCCAGAGACGAGGCTGAACACCAACTTCCTGAATTCCAACTCCGGATCTTTATCACAGAATCACACATCCTCCCTCCTCAACTTTAACACCTCTTGGCAACACAAGGCAGCAAAAAGCCTTCTGCTGCCCTTCCTTGGCACCCAAATTTCACTGGCCCACGAGCTGTCCAGTGGCCACTGAAATTTGGATGCCCAGGACAGTGCCCATGCCTGTCCCAYGCTGCAGTGTTTGCTCTGGGCGGGATGCTCAGCAGGACACACCCATTTTGTCCCTTCTGAGAATCACAAATGATGGCAGAGGCAAAGGCTCGTCCTGGAAAGGCTTTAGGCGAGCACAGGGAGAGGTTTGTGCGTGGTTGTCCACAACAGCCTGTCTGCAGCAGCCATTCACAGCCAGAGCTCCTGCTGCTCTTCCCCTGGTTCCTGGCAGAGCAAGGCAGCCCTCCAAGCATGAAGGCAGGCCTTGTTTTCAGGAATCTGCCACGRTGTGGTTGAAATGCACAGTTTATTCTTGGCTGGGGTTTAAATTGCAGCGAACACCTTCTCGGTCCTGGGTAGTGCTGCCTGTTGCAGTGTGCCCCTAAAGGTACAGCTGGAAGGAGAATTTCGGTGAACTTGCTTGGAGATCCCCCTAGCAAACCTCCCCCCATTCCCTGAAACATCCACCACGTCCTGGCAYGCTCTGGGAATACCTCAAACTACACCATCCTTCCCTCTGAGCCAGCAGAAACGCAGTCACGTACATGGAAGAGCGGAGGAAAGCGACAGCTACGGGGCTGGGCCAGCTCTGCCGACCACACCATYGGGGCACGCTGCCACTTCCCAGCCTGTGCCCCACAGGACACGCTGCAGGAACCCCCAAATCCCTGCCTGCCAGCTGCACACCATGCTCACCCCAGCTCTGACATGGCAGGAGTCCTGCAGGTGTCCTCCCAGAGAGCTTCTATCTCTGTAATGGCCATTCAATTTAAACTGCCTGCCCCTGGCTGGGTAAGCAGAGTTTTAACCACACACGAGGCAAAGCTCCAGCCCTTGGCTCCTCCACKCTGCACGTTAAACCCATTAACAGTGTCTGTTGTCTCCTCCTGACTGCTGTCCAGCAGYGTGAAACCCAACACTCGCCTTTTCTATTTTCACACAACCTGCARTGTGACGTTACCCTGGCTCTCACTCGCTCAGGCCCTTGGCTACGTGCAGATCATTTCACAAGAGGAGCTCCCACGATCACAGAATGCTGCTCAATGCTCTTTGCTCAGCAAAGGGACTGGAGATCATCCCACACTCTTGGAGCAGGTATTGTGGGCCAGCACAGCAGCAGGCTCAGCCACCAGCTCCTCTGCAGCCTGCCCCATAAAATAATTCCCTGGSAAAGCTGTGGTTTGAACATTTGTCMCAAGCCACCCCAGCAGCTGTGAGCTCTGAAYTCACTGCTCGATGCTGACAGGTCTCCCCACGCACCGAACCCCRCAAACCAGCGCGGCCACATGAGAGGAAAAACACTGACAGCTCCCCGAGATTTACAAGGAGCTCTTCATTTTCGCAGSAAAGATTCCGGGAAGCTGATGAAACTGGAAGCCATCCAGCTCAGAAAAGCCAGATCTACCTCATTTCCTTAATACTGGCATTTTCCATTCAGTATTTTTAGCAGTTCCATGAAGCAGTAACGGCAGAGAGGTTTTCTGAGGCTGCGTTTCTAAGGTCCGGCTGAGGTTCTGCCTTCCACTGGCAAACCTTCCCTGGAAAACAGGCTTCATCCTGACTCAGAAAAGGCTGTCTTTGTCCTCACCCTCAGCTATGGCACCGTGGCTTAATGGCCTTGTTTAGTCTAGACCCAGAAGAAGTGACAAAACGAGCTGCTTCAGCGTCATTCATTGGGAGAGGTGTTCTTTGCACATCTGCTGCTCGAGTTTGACATTCGTAAAAAAAAAAAAAAAAAAGCCCAAAATTACAATTGCAGATGATCTGGTCCTTTTCCAAAGCATCTGTCAAATGCAATTTCCCTGCACCAGGGAGTTTTGCCAGGGAATGTGTGCTATACACGTACCTGCCACTCGCTCTACTCTGACCATCTCACTCGTGATGTAGGAACTGTATTTGAAAGGATGAAGTTTGGGGTTTTATCACCCTGTTGTGGTAAGGACTGTACAGGTAGCAAAGATCTTCCTCAGAGGGGTAAGGGTGGCAGGCAGTGGCTTCTTGCCTCTGTTTGAGGTTATCCCAGCTTTGCTGATCTCAAAGGTCCAGTTTAAAGCTGATTAAATCCTGGTGCTCCCATCTCAGTGCAAATAATTCAGCCACAAAAGCTGTGGGTGCAGAGCAGTGGGAACAAGCCACAAAGGCACGTGTGACTAACATAAAACTCCAGGCAAAGGGTTTTCAAAAAGTACACAATGAAAAACAAAATCCTCAAACCTGAAATTAGCTAAATGAGTAACTCTGGCATTTCTGAAGGGGAAAAACYTTCCCTTTAGACACTCCTTGAAAAYRCTTTYGGGTGAGCAAATCTGCATTCAARTCCCTYTGCAAGCAAGGATGAGATTTTMATTTTTCTCCACCTCTTCTGCTGAAGTCATTTTACTTCACAGAAATACTGCAATCTCCATCATGATGCAGAAAAATGTGTTTCTATTGCCTGCTCTGGTAGCCAAAGCAATACACATTTCCAACTCCTGCTCCATTGACATTGTAAATTTTTTTTTTTTTTTGAAAATTAAGCAACTTCAGCAGGAGAGAATGAAAGATATACAACCTGAAGAAYAGCACAGTTGGTAAGATACTTAGAGAAAAGGTAATATATTTGAAATATCTCAGATTTGGAGGCTTCGTTCCAAATACAGTGGACAACAGATTTAAACCCATACTTTGATTAAATAAGGAGGAGAACAGATGGAGGTCTGTTTTATATAAAGCTCTTAATACTCATGTGAAGCTGATACTATTTCCCATTTTCCTTTGCATTCATTAGGAACATCCAAACTAAAATACTTTATTTTACCTGAAACCAAYACTCTCTTGATTTGCAAGGAAATGCAATTGCTTTAAGAGAGCTTTAACATTTTCTTTGGGGCCCACCAAATTATTTTCTATCTTCTTTCCATACCAAATTTTGGAGACTCAGTTAGGAAACTCAAAGAAAATGATTATTTTCATGAATCTATTTTCACCAGCTTTGGACCAGAGACCTCCACATTTTGTCCCCATCACTTTGGGAATTAAGGCTATTTCTATTGTGTGTCTTGAGCTGCGGAGAACTCACTTACAAATTTCTTTACAGAAAATGGTTCACATCTCCCACATTTTTCTAATAACAGCCAAACATTATTTATTTGTATGATCAAGGAAGTTTTTATAACCAGAAACTCATATCCTTACAGCCCCAAGGAAGAGTCCAGCATTCTTCCTAGGCAGTGGCAAAGCTGAGTGGAGGCAGTAAATACAGGCTGAAACTGATATTGCAACAAATTCTACCAGAACTAGTGCACAAAAATCCAGGCTGAGCTGCTGGTATTTCCTTAGGTACATATTTAGGGTCAGAGGAAGCACTAAAATCACAAATAAAACACCAGGTCACTGGCCTTTGATAAAGAGAGCCACAAAGCAGAGATCAGAAAAAGATCAAGCTGCACCGAGCTGGAGGAAAACAATTCAAATCTCGAGTTTTGCTGCCAAATAAAAAGACGAGATGTTTCTTCCTTCCAGCCTCGGAGGCTTCACCTAATTTGACTCCTGTTGTWCTTTTCAGGGGGAAATTAGCACAGCTGGAGAAATTCCCGTGCTCACAGAGGGACCCTGGTGGGCAC